TCATCTGAAGATGGCGCCCCCAAAGAAATAGCAGAGTCGAACCAGGAGTCAAAGCCTGCATCAAAATCTAGCGTCAACGAGCGTGAAGAGAAGAAAGAAGTCGCCGCCAAGGTCCAAGATGTAATAATGTGGTATCAAAATTGAAAATTATTTTAGTTTTTGTGGTATCAAAATAATGCAATTATTTCCTGGTTTGTCCAATACAATTTTGAGGTCTAAAGAAACACGTGCATTAATAGCGTTGTAGAAAATTGGACCTGTTAATACTGTAATTTGGTTCCTCTTTCATGTATGATTGTTCAGTCAATTAAACGTTCCAAGCTCTACTAGGTTTTAGTTGTTATATTTTTCGAAACCAGATTAATCAGATTGCACAATCTGCTGTTAGGATGTAAAACTTTTGGTGAACAACTTGACTCGGTTGCTGAGTAATCATGGAATTACGACTGCTAGTCTACCTGTTTCATCTATGTTTTATAGATTAAGATCTAATTGTTTCAGTGTAAATCTGAATTCTTTTGGAATTTGTAATACTTGCCATTCTTCCATATTAACCCGTGAAACATGTCAGATATTTTGTGGGTTTCAAGACAGCTTTATTTGGAACGTTTTGTTTGCAGATTTAAAAGTGCAGATAGAGAACTACTTCAAGAATGTCAATGAGGATGCACTCCCATTAATCCTTGAGAGTATTCTAAAGAAGAGGATTTGCGGTAAGCATGATGACACAGATGATGAGTTGATGGAAGAGCTCCAAATGCAGCCGATGGATAGTGTTAAAGACCAAGATTTTGAATCAGATTTTGAGGAGGGCCATGAAACAGATGAAGAGATTGATGATTTGTACAATGCACGGGATATTGTGGTGAAGAAAATGGCAAGTGATCCATACTTCAACATGGATGACAGGAAGTGGGATCACATGATTGCAGAGGCTGTCGAACATGGGCATTTGAAGGATACTAGGGAGTGTGAGGCAATTCTAGAGGACATGCTTAACTGGGACAGACTTCTACCAGATAATAACTCTATTCGTTTTCTCGCTTTCAAAGTCAAATTGTAGAAAACAAAGGTTCCATCTCTCTTGGTGGTTTTTGGATTGATCAGATGAAACTTTTTCTTGTGATTAAGATCACTTTAAATTTTGATGTGTCATGATGTGGAACTGCACAACCATTTTAAACAAAAAAGTACTATTATACACTTTTGACTTGGGGCTATTGAAATGTCTGTGCTCCCAATAGTAGCAATAACAGCTCTAAGGATGTGCATAAAAGCCCGATCAACGGTCTAATGAATATGAAGAGTGGATATGAGGAAGTTGCTCTGAAATTCACCCTAGTTCATGGGATTTCATTAATACTAACATAAAGAAGAAAATTTTAGTGGAGGTAGGAGTGGGATAGAAAACGAGAGTGTGTGCGAGATTATTCGCTCACCATGCCGCCTAAAGAACACATTTGCAATCCTGTAAGATGCATGAAGTCAGTTATTGTATGTCCATCAACTGGAGAAAGTTCAAATGATGTGAAAAACTGTAACCTATATAAAAATAGCAGATTAATTTGTCATCCTTGGCCAAAAAACCATATCAGAACTTCCCTGCCAAACTTTTGAGCTATTATCATTATATTATGGCTCAGGTAGAGCAACTTCAAAATTGTACTCATGCAGCATCTGGACCATCTCATCCGCTGACTGCACATTGAAGCCGGGAGTTACAAAGACGAGATAAGAAAGTGTGCCCTTAAATTGACAAAAATCAAATAAAGCATATTTTGTTCCTTTCTATTTTGACTCCGGCTTATCTCTCCATGCCCACATCCCAACCTCGTGGAGCTGGTAAATGGGTTTGGGTTGGAAGCGAGTAAAAATGTATTGTTTTGACCTTAAAAGTACATGACAACAAATTAATTAATTAATGCCTTGATATATAAATATAACTTTTGTATAAAGGCCAGATCCTGTTCCTTTTCAAACGTAAGAAAGCTTCTTGAGTAACATATTTCAGCAACTCTACATTAGAGTTAGACTCACATCTCCTTAGTTATTCCATGTTGCTACCAATGTTTAGGCTGTTGATTCCAACGTCATTTTCTTCATCCTTCTGCCTTGCAGAAATTGGTTTCTTTTCTTCATCCTTCTGCCTTGCGGAAATTGGTTTTTTCCCCTTTCTTCAGCATTTAAATTGTTTTCCAAGTCCTTTAACTGGATCGGCCTTTATCTTAAGGACTTCCAGAATTGTTGTCCATTGGCGATTCCAACATTTGTAGGTGCTGCATCCAACAAGAACCATGTTCCTATCTGATACAACTTTCAGTCATAGCAGCACTGTTTTTTAGCTTTCTCAGACTAATCTTCTAGTGGGGTCTGGAGAAGATATCTTGAATTATTAATATCCTTTAAATCATACTGGAGATTTTTTTCTCCCAGTTGATTTAGTGCGTTCTTGCTGCTTCCCCTATTGGATAACCGTCTTGATCTACCACACTGCATTGAATACCCTGAATAGGCGCACCCTTTGCTGCCATAGAGCAAAAGATAAGAGCACAGGACACTGGAAAAGATGGCTAAGCTCAAACTCCACTAATGACTTGTGGAGCATTATTCATAAATTTTAATTTCAATACATGTTAGATTAATATGTTCGAAATGATAATGCTTGTGTACAGAACAATAAAAAAGAAATGACAAAGGTCAATGCTTTTGACTTTGTGGATTTGCATTGTGTTACAATATCATGGGACGATTACGTGCACATATTTCCACTCTCAAACATTGTAGTAATTTTTCCAAATATTTTATACTCTGTTTGTAGTATGAGTTGACTTTTATTATTTAACAATTCTCAAACAAGATAAAAAAAGAAAGTGGAAAAGAAGTTTGACGAGATAGCAAATAGGATTGAAAAAGGTGAACTGGAAGTTGAAGAAGGCTATGCATTGTTTAAAGAGTTTGAAGACCAAATGGTATTGCAATGTGTTAAGCTGATGGAGGCAGAGGCTCCTTAACAGTTTGATGAGAATGCTGTGCCCCATAAGAAAAATGATCTTGATGACCCACCAGGTGAGGCCCCAATTCTTAGGTGGCAAACACGTCTGGTCTTTGCTCATGGTGGTGATGCATGGCACTTGAATAATAGAAAAGTAAAATTGGGTGTTACTGTCAAAGAGCTTGGTTTGTCAAAGCATCAATTCTGCCGGCTAAAAGAATTATTAGGAAGGCGACACAATATAGGAAAAGATGAACTTACCATAACTAGTGAGAGGTAACTCAGTGGCAGACAGTGTGTTGTTTTTTCTCATCAACTAGCGATGATAATGTTTGACCGTCTGGGAAATTATTTAGCATCTGATTCTCATCCAGCGAATATCCTCTTACTTTAGATAATAAGAAATTTTAATTGAACCTTAATGGGCTCAACCCTAGATTCTATATCTTTTTATTGCTTTTGAATCTAGGGTAAAATTTCTAGGGGCACAACAAAGATATCACAGCTTTTGGTATTTCTCCATAGAAGTTGTTGAAAGACAAGTCCAATTGACTCAAGTTGGACAACAAAGATATCACAGCTTTTGGTATTTCTCCATAGAAGTTGTTGAAAGACAAGTCCAATTGACTCAAGTTGGACATGTTACCTAATGAGGATAGAATGGTACCATCAAAATAAATGCTATTGTTCTAATGAGGAGGCAGTGATAATTGGCCAACAAGAGAGTTGTTTCTTAAGTTCAAAACTTCTAATCCTGCATTTTTCTGAAGCAATCAATTAGGAATATTTCCTCGCAGGTTGTTTTGGGAAAGATCAATCAGTTTTAGCCTGTACTAGTGTGAAAGAAAAGTGAGGATATTGCCACTGAGTTTATTAAGGTTACAATTGGACAATCGAAGAACTTTCAATTGAAAATTTGGGGTCCAATTTGAATTTTCGATTTCAACATCCATTTTTCCCATATTCACCAGTTCAACGATCTCCAACTTAGAATGATTGGCCAATAGACTAAATGATAATTTACCCTCGAATCCGTTATCCTTTAGGCTCAAGTATTTCAGAGATGTGAGGTTGGATATTATGAAGGAAATGTCTCCTTTGAAACGATTCGTAGAAAGATCTAAAACTCTTAGAGAGCTCAAGTTGGTGAAAAAAATGAGGGAGCTGTCCTTCGAAGGGATTTAGACTGAGGTATAATTCTTGAAGGTTTTTAAGTTCACAAATACCTGCAAATTATGGAGTATGAAATAAGAGTCCTCAAAAGTTTAGCAAAAACAAGCATGGATCCTTGATCCCTTAACAAAAAGTGGGGAATTGAGTATCGTCTCAACTGAGAAAGATGCTTGATACATAAGAAGCATGGATTCGAATACAATACGATATGGGTACATCCAAAAACCATGATAATAAAATAAAATGCTAAAATATTTTATTTTAATCATTAATTATACCAATTTCATTTTCTTCAACATCACAAACATCAGCTCCTTCATTTATTATTAAAAATAATATTCTCCAACTCTGACTTATATAATGATAGATTAACAACATCAAGTAGCCAAATACTTTCGAGAGCATCGAATTTTTTCGATAATGTCTCATATTTTAGATTCTCCTTTTGAATGAAAAACTAATTTTCTTGATAAAAAAAACATAGATTGATATGAATGGAAATCAAGTTATTATGTGTAGTGGAGTTTGATTTTATTATTTACGATTTTACATGTATTAAACTATTATCTATTCCTAATAATAAAAATGTATTTATCAACTATTATCTCAATTTTACATGTATTAATATATTTAATGCTCTGGTGTATCTTTAATAAATAAATAAAAAAAAAACTTTACTCTCTCCATTCTATAAAGATAAACCTACTTTCATTTAGTGAAGTTTGATTTTATTACACACGATTTTACATGTATTATAAACTATTATCTATTCCTAATAATAAAAATGTATTTATCAACTATTATCACGATTTTACAAGTATTAAAATATTTAATGCTATTGTGTATCTTTAATAAAACAAAAAGAAAAGAAAAGAAAAAAAACTCTATTCTCTCCATTTCATAAATATAGACCTACTTTCATTTTCACACAGCTTAAGAAAAAGTAAATTATTTAATACGGAATAATGTAAATTTAATAATTTACCCTTTGAAAATTGGTCAAAGCATGGTGAAAATCAACTTTTCTGGTCAACTAATGGTCAAATGGACGGAATCCATCCATCCATCTTGCTATTACAATAAAATGACAAGTTTGGCAATTTGTGTGCCACAAATGAAAGATTTGGGTAAAGTTTGTGAAATTGTGTAAGGTTCGATTGTGGATGCAATTATCCTTAAGTAAATATGTGTAGAACATGCTCAATGTATTTAATCTTGTACCTTTACTGGGCAAGAAACCATTACTCTTGTTTTTTGCCAATGATAGTGCCGTAAGCAAGGACATGAGCCCAATTATTTGAGGCACGCTCCCCATGAAATTGTTCTTGCTCATATTTAGGACCTTTAAGTTCTTGAAAGATATAAGATCTGGCAAAAAAAAAAAAAAAATCTATGTAGTTAATGGACAAGACTTTACCTTATATATGGAAAAGAAATTTGATTTATCCTTCTTAATGCTTCAAGGGAGATTTTGTCTAAACCTTGAATAGGTAGATGACCAGCCAGTTGATTTCCTATTAAAATTAGGACTTCTAGTTCCTTATTTAGGCTGTCCAGCTCTGCAGAAAGACCAGTTACTTGAATATCATAATAATTTTCTTATTTTCGCTAACTTCTTATCTGGTTTTAAAGTTTTTTGAAATTAATTTGAAAAAAGATAGCATACCGTTATTTGAAATTGGACCTTCCATCTCATTTTGTTGTAACGATAAGAATTTAAAAGCCTTTAGATTGCTAACTGACTTCAGAATGGGCTTGTTGAAATGGTTACAGCCTAAATCTAGGTGCTCCAACTTTCTCAACTTTGATAAACTTGTTGTATCTGCAGAAATTCCATGACATCATCGAATGAATCAAGATAGAAGGTTAAAACTCGTGTTCATGATCTGAATTCCATATGACCAACTAAACTTTACTTACTCAAATAGTGCCTTACTATAGATGAAACAGAGTTATCTTGAAATTGAAATAACTTATGTACCTTTTAATTCATTAAACCTAAAGAAACACGATGTTTATCTTGAAATTGAAATCATTTATGTACATTCGCTTCATTACATGTTTGTGATTTATTCTAGGGACTTATACGGGGGAACTGGGCCCTGTCCATTTAACTTTTTTGATGCAATTTTTTATGTGTAAATTCATTATTATTATTATTATTATTATTATTATTATTATTATTATTATTATTATTATTATTATTATTATTTTACATAATAGTTTGGCTAGTAATGCAATCCTTGATCCGTCCCTGATTTAATTCCAATTTGAGATAAGTGTAGCAAATGTTGAGAAATACCATAATTGGAGAATTAGACAACATTGGATAGGGATTAAAGAAGAAACTTGTATTGTAGTGTCGAATATTGTGGACCAATTGAATGCTAAAAGTCTAAAATTATTCACCTTGCAACGAGAGGTTACCCTCAAACTCGTTATTACTTATATCCAATATTTCCAAGTTCCACAAAGCCGATAGATCTGCAATCAAGAAAGATTAAAAGATAAGAAGAAAAACTTTTCTCTGTCAAATAAGTTGAGAAAGGGTTGATTTTATATAAAATGCCTATTATAAATATATTACTAATTCAAATTTTACATGCCTTGTACTGGAAGAAGCCCTTCAAAATTATTTAAACTGAGGTTCAAAAACTTCAACGGCTTGAGTGTGCTAAGAGACTTGAAGATGCTGTTGTTGAACGCATTAACAGCAAGGTTTAACTTCTCTAACCTCTTCAAATGGACCAATTTTATAAAACCTGCTTCTATGCACTTATTGATTTCATCAATGGTGTATTAATCTTCTACTAAATTTATAAGTAAATTAACTGTACATAAGATGGAGTTTATCACATAATAAAATCGTAAACTCTGATTATAATTAAGTTTAAATTCGAATACGAGGCTAATAAATTACCTGTAGTATTAGCAGAACTCCACCAGTAATTTCCAGATAAATCAAGAATTCTTATTTCTTTGAATGGGGAAAATAAGGAGACATTAAGAAAATAACCTCCGGGAGCAAGAAGTTTAAACTACGTAAATTGTTAAGATCGAGCTCGACTACTCTACTTGTAGTTGGATCACACATGACTCTCTCCCAGTTGCAGTAGTTATTCTCTTTTCTATGAATCCATGAAAGAAGTGTAGTGTCTTCTTCACCATTCATCAATCGAAAACATGTCTTAATTTCCAGAAGACCCCTTCTCTCCTCCTCAATACAACCATGGAATCCATTGATTTGTAATAAAATTGTAAAAGCCAACAATAAGCAGTTCATTGGTAGCGACCCCATTAGTTTTCTTGATGATAACTTTTTAGAACTGCATTAATAATATCTGAACTTGAAGTCATTGGCCAAGTCTTCTACCCTTGCCAACACCCCTACCCCCACTCTAGAGTTGTACTAAGGGTCATGTCGAACTATCAAAGCCCAGAGTTTCTAGGGTGTCGGACCAACCCAAGTCAACCGAGTCTGGTCTATTTCTTACGATCTTATCCTTTATCATTCCTCCATCATCTTTCTACTCATGACTCATGTGGCCATGTTCTCTTTGAAAGGATTAGTTGCAGAGACCATGGTGTCTTATGTATCATTTTGAAGTATGTCATTCATAAGTATTTTTTTGCGTTTATTCAAATTTCAATTATAATTTATCATTGTATTGAGCGAATATGTATTTATGTTATGTTATTTTATTATTGATTTAGGTAAAATCTGGATTGAACAAGTTTGAATGAAATTGGATTACAGCGGTAGAAAATTGAGGAATTGTCAACCAAAATAATCAAGGCTCAAAATTGAGGACCTGTCATGCAAATAAAGAGGATATGAGATGCACAAAAAATTAATGTTGAGGACCAAAGTGCACGAAATTTGAAGAAAATTCCAACTTTAGATGATTTTCTAATTACACTCAAATTCCATATTGGAGATGCTTTAAGATTCTTTTTTAGAGTTATTATGGACTTTTGTTCTTAGTTTTAATCATTCTTTTTATGAGACACACAATTCAAGAGAGAAAAACATAAAAAAAGATCAAATAGTGAAAAATTAGGGGTCTGTTCGGTAATAATTATGAGAATTGATTTTTTGACCGTTAGAAACAAAAAGTGGGTTCCACCTATGAGTGAAGAAATAAAAAATGACAGTTGACTTAGAGAAGTAACGTTCAAAAAATGAATTTTTTTGGGTGAAAAATCAGAACCAAATGGGGGTTAGGTCTTGCAAGATTTTGGAATTGAAGAAGAAGATTTTTTTTTTTTTTTTTTTTTTTTGTACAAGATTCAATTCATTCGTTCATCAAGATTTTAAAAATCGATTATAAAATCTATTCTCGTTTATTATTTTTCCTTCATTAGCATGATTAGCTAAATCATTAGCCAAGGCAAACAGTATAATTTATGTGTGACCCTTTAATTTAATTTTCAAGATTTTAAAAGTTTAATTAATATGTGTTAATTTTATCTATGTTATTTAAAGCTTTGAATTATTTGGTCAATAATTTGATGATTCGTGTATCTATAACGAATTGAGAGGTAAATTATAGATTTTGATCACATAATAAAATTCGGTAATTGGTATAAAAGTTTAGAGATATCTTTTCGAGTTAGTGCAGACGTTACATTGATTCTTAGATATTTAATGCAATTAATTAAGGTGTATCCGAATTCACATTTACTTAGATAAATGGAATCATTTTGAACTCGAGAGAGGTAAATTAAATACATTGTAAGACCAACCGAACACTATAATAGGTAAAGAATCTTCATTAGCTAATTAAAGGGGATCCATAGATGAAATTGTAAATCCTAACATCCACATTCTCACATAGAATATTACTAGCTCCATCATATCTTTGACCTTTTAAATTAGATATACTTAAGCTATGTTGGATAATAATCGATCAATTCCAGTCTTAAGTAAGACAACTATGGTAATCCAAAGAGTTAATTGATCCTATGGTCACTAAATTTAGGTCTATGTCTTTGATTGGTCACTGAAGTTTAAAATGTTGAGTTTTGGTCACTGAACTTAGGTTCATGTGTTCGATTGCTCACTGAAATTTAAAATGTCGAGTTTTGGGCACGAAACTTTGGAAAATATCTTACGTTACTTATTGGCATAATTGTTGAACTTTGAAAAATATCGGATTTACAATGAGTAATGTACAAAAATTTTTTAGAGTTCAGTGAGTAATGTACAACAGTTTTCAAAATTTAATGACCAAACTCGACATTTCAAATTTCAGTGACCAATCAAAGATATGGACCTAAGTTCAGTGACCATTGGAACAATTAACTCTACTCCAAACATCTATGATACCAATAAAATGTTCCAATACACGATCATTCTTCACATAATGAATAACAACTGACGTTTACTTCTTTATTGAAATGTCACGTGATTCATCAACTAGAATATAAAACAAACTATCACCCATATAATTATAATCACATTTAGAGTTTTATAAGCAATAGCACTTACAATAGCTTTTTGGATGTTAATTTGAAGTTTTTTGGCGCATTCGTTAAAGCAACAACCTTAATCTCAATCTTATGATCACACAACCAATACAATAGTGAAAGAAAGTTTCCTTGATTTTTTGAAACTTTAGATTCATCATGTGACATGGTCTATCATTGGTATTGGGACTATAAGCCAAACAAGCATGAGAAACTGGTACAAAAGAAGATGCCAACTCTAACATGGACAAGTTAGAGTTCCCTTTTCTTCAATATACAAAATGAGTATTCATTTCAATAAATGTTGAGGCTTTAGTATTGGCCACAACTTGCATCTACTACAACATACGTGGTTCTCTCTATGATTAAGCTTACTCACCAAACTATAGAGAAGTCGTGAAAGGGGATAAGGATAAGAGGAACCTGAAATTAGCTCTAATAATGTTCTATTCGTTGGCCTGGCAAAGGAGACATTTGGAGAATGCCTACCGGAACGTGAGCATTCTGGGGTTACTGGATGAGGTGAACAAGAAGTGCAATTTGGGACAATCGGAGAAGAAAGATTTGATCAAAATATTCTTCTACAATGTCTATTCAAATTGTGTTGATGGAAGCATTTTTTATGGTGTGAAAATGGACATGGTTTCATTTGCAATGAACTGCTACATTCTAATTCCCATGATGAATAACTTATTGGATCCAGATGCTTAAGAAAATTTGCTCAAAGAAAGTTATTTTCTGACAATACTCTCTAAAAGATTGGAATAAACTACTCAGTAGTGGAAAAGTTTGTGCAAATGTTGAATTGGAAGGGCCTTTAAGAAGTAGAGATTAGGCATTCAACAGTAGAAATTGTTGTGAATTTACTTAAACATGCGCAGCGAAAATAAAAATAATTTCAATTCTTACCAGGATTCATCTTTGTATTTAGATAAGTATTGTGATAAAAGTTGTACATTTTCTTAGATCTGCAAACTCCTTTGCGTTATCTTTGTTCCAGCAACTTGGATCTGCCTTTCATAGCTGTCCAATTGTCCAGCCTACAATGAATTCCACATAGAGAACAGATTGCAGCCACCAAGGTTTTCTCTTCTTGTGTTAGCAAGAATTATGAGATTCTCAATTGAATTGAAAACCCTAGTCACGTATTTACACAAGACCAAACGGGCTTGGCCTAACCCTGTCCAATATTTAATTAATCCATTTAATTAAATTTGGTCCATGAGTCAATTAATCCAATTAATTAATTCGAGCCTATAAATAACCAACTCAATTAATTAATTCATCCAACGATTGTTAAATTAATTAATTGACAAATTGCAGTCTTCCAATTTTCTTTTGTGTGCGACCCATCAGGTTCCCAATCACGATGCCTAATGACGTGAAATATTTATTTTGATCTAATTAAAATTTATAAATTAAAACACCCTTCTAATTTATCATCAATTCACATTTGCCGTCCTAGATTGACATCTTGCAATGTATCAGGAAAACACATGTTGCGAAAAATGTCACGTGGTATGACAAAACCAAAGTTGTTCATTTACTACGAAACTATAATCCCTTCGTCAATACAATTCGATCAATTATGAGATATGAAATTGTTTCAATCTCGATTATCGATCATATCTTTCATTCTACTATTAAGTCAATATAAGTCGAAAACTCCTTTTCGACTTATGAGTATACCTTGGTCAAGGATTTCGTTATCGACTTAATTGAACGAAATATAGATCACAATCTCTTACCTTTTTAAGAGTGAAGAATCCTCTATTGACCATTCACAGCCATCATATGGTTCTTGACATAACCGAACAATGCCGTATTAGCAGCCCTTGGCAGAGCAACATCCAACACCATCAAAGTATGACCGTTTTCATACAAGGCACTATGACGACCTCAAGTCAAAGGACCAATTCTACTACCGAACGTTAGAGATTAACCACTAACACTTAGATAGTTATCCATGTGGAATCTCTTAGCGGGTCTCCAATGTTTTGTTCTATAACAAAATATCCACACATTCATTTAAGTGTCACCACACTTTAGCTTGTGAGATAAGCTACTTACTTTACAAGTAAGAAATACCACGTGTGATGGTCTATCCGTAATAACGATATCCGTATCTCGTTATTACTTACAACCATGGATTATTCAAGATCCAATCATATGTAATTTGCATTTCACAATCACAACTTCTTGTGATTAAAAAATCACTTAAACTTGAATCTTCGAACTTTATTATTAATAGCATCTATCATAATATTAATTTAAATAAATAATAGATCTTGCCAAAAATAAATGTATTAAATATATTAAAAGTGTTTAAAACCTAAATCGATTGGATCTAGGGCATAACACTTACAAACTCGCACTTGCACTAGATCCAATCACTCATGTATCTAGTACCATAAGCATCCACATGACGATCATGTTTCTATTGTGACAACGATTTTGTCAATGGATCTGCAATATTGTCATCTGTGGGAACTTGCTCTATGTTTACGTCATTTCTTTGTATAATCTCCCCGATAAGATGATATCGCCTTAGCACATGTTTGGATCGTTGATGAGACCTTGGTTCCTTCGCTTGTGCGATGGCTCCATTGTTATCACAATTCAAAGGTGTGAGATCAACAGTGCTAGGAACGACTCCAGTTCATTAATGAACTTCTTGATCCAGACAGCTTCCTTCACTGCTTCAGAAGTAGTAATGTACTCGGCTTCTATTGTTGAATCAGCATTTGTCTCATGTTTGGAACTTTTCCAACTAACCGCTCCATTGTTGAGAGTAAACATATATCCGGATTGAGACTTGCTATTATCTTTATAGTATACCAATGAACCTTTAGTTCATCTCCTCCATAGATCAAGAACACATCTTTAGTCCTTCTCAGGTGCTTAAGAATGTTTTCAACCGCTATCCAGTATTTCTCACCGGGGTTTGCTTGAAACTTGCTCGTAACACTTAGAGCATATGAAATATCTGGTCTCGTACATAGCATCGCATACATAATAGATCCTATCTCTGAAGCATAAGGAATCTTATCCATGTGATTTCTTTCATCATGTGTTTTAGGACACATATTTTTTGAGAGGTAAATTCCTTGTGACATAGGACACAAATCTCTCTTGGATTCTTCTATGTTAAATCTTCTCAAGATTTTGTCTATGTACGAAGATTGGGATAAGCCAAACAATCTTTTATATCTATCTCTATAGATCTTGATTTCCAAGATATACGCCGCTTTTCCCATATCTTTTATGGAGAAATTTTTTGACAACCATAATTTTACCGATTAAAGCATTGAGATATCGTTTCCCATTAATAATATGTCATCGACATATAATATTAGGAATGCGACCGCGCTCCCACTTGTCTTCTTGTAAACACACGATTCATCTTTATTTTTGATAAAATCAAACTTCTTGATTGTCTCATCAAAACGAAGATTCCAGCTCATAGAGCCTTGCTTTAATCCATAAATGGATCAATTAAGCTTACATACCTTGTTGGCTTTTTTGGATTCTAAACCTTCTGGTTGTGTCATGTACATATCTTATTGCAAATTTCCTTTAAAGAAAGCAGTTTTGACATCCATTTGCCATATCTCATAATCATGGTATGCAGCTATTGCAAGTAAAATTCGAATGGATTTCAGCATGGCTACAGTTGAAAAGGTTTCATCAAAGTCAACACCTTTTGCTACTAGCCTTGCTTTGTATGTATTGACGTTTCCATCCACATCGACATTTTTCTTGTGAACCCATTTGCAAGTTCAAGATTATTGATGTATTGCTAAACTTATCTCTTGGTCGAAGAAAATTGAAGCCTTGGAATTGTTTTCAAAATTTAAGATCTACCTAATTTTCATCGTTTAATTTATATTTTCAGTATTGGATATTCTTCTATGCTTGATGTCATGATTGTTATGTTTGATTACTAAAAGAATCCATTAGTTTATCATGCGTTTCAATCTATAGTTAAGTTTAATATCAAATCCATAATTGTTTGATGAATTTAACTTGTGAAACAACTAGAATTAGTAATTTGCTTCTTTGGGAAATTGTTAAATCTTAGGAAGAATATACTAGGTTAAATGCAAATGCTTGGCTTGTGTATCTAGTTAATTGATTTCTCTAATTTAAAAAGCCATTATTAAATTAAATTATCGGGCTTGTATAGGATTGTTTGGTAATGAGGATTAATTAGATCGCTTGTTTCTAATTAATTTAAAGTAAGGAGAAATAGGAAATTGTTTCAAATGGAAAATTATTTTCCAATGATGAATACTAGAAGTTTGAATTAATAATTATTTGTAGATCAATGACCAATTGTAAATCTCAAATGGTGGATGTTGACTTTGACCAAGGTTCGTTCTATTGATTTCATTTAATTCGATAATTTGCGTTTACGTTAATTGCCATTTTTAATAATTGTTTGTTTCAAAACCAAAAACCACCTTTTTAGTTAATTTAGCATAAAAGATAGACTAAACACTCTTCGTGGGATCGACCCTTACTTCCACCTTTACATTTGTTTTGAGGAGTATAGGTTTTAATTTGGAGTGCCTGCGATAGTACGCACCAATTCTACATCTATTTATGACTATCTTTAACTATCTTTTTCACTTGCATTTTACACTGGGTATGCGAGTTGTGATTTCAGGTAACAAGTTTGACACATGCAATGCAAAGCAGGAGGCAGTTAAGTCTGTTGATTTTGGGTAGTCTTGTCAAGTCACTTTCGATGCAATGTATGTTTTGTCACAGATTATTGTAATTGGCATTCCTGTGAAGAAAGGGGTCAAATTGAAACCATGTTAAAGTTGAGGAGTCATGTGCAATATTGTGCAAAATCTGTTGGTAGGTTAAGGTTTATGTTCAAAACAAGGAAGGAAGGACCACCACATTTTCGCTTGTTTCTTGCCATCACACTACTCGAGCGGCAAAAATAGAAAGGACATCGTTAGCTTCTCGTCAAGCCTTTGCTTGTGAAAGACCGTCGCTAGCTTTTCACAGGACGGTTGCCAAACCTAATTTTCATTTTTCGAGAGTTTTAACAATTTCAAACTACCCAAACACCCACATATAAATATCTGCGCCATTTCACGAAAATGCTGGGATTGTCCATTAGAGAAAACACTTGCATCCTTCAAAAACATACAATCCATTCTTCATGAACCATAGCGATTGAAAAAGGTCAAAATTTGAAATTCAAACACCAAAACCAAAAGCTTCTAAAGGATCTGTCAAGAGTTGAAGATCAGGAAAGGTGACCAAAGTTTCAATCGTTGGAGAATGGGGAGTTCTCAGGGAATCTACATGAGATGTACGAAAACAAAAGCCTGGAGTTGGTGTTGGAGCACGCAATCCAAGAGGGCTTTGGGAATTGCAGTACAGGAGGTCGGAAAGAACTTGTGTTGGTCTAGTCTGGCGATACTGTAAATTGTGTTCGTTTATAGTGGATTCATACTGGGTTCCATTTGGATTAACACGTCAACCTTGCCATCAAAATCGAAGGAGTCAAGGCACCAAAAAGCAGACGTTGTCCACACTCCCTTTATATGATTGACTCCGAAAGTCAAGAAAAAAATGGTACAAGAAGGAGATAATGTACGAAGAACCTCTAGGTGAGTTAGTCGGTCGATAAACATATTGTTAGAATCGAAGGAAATGATCGATAAACATTCTGATATTACAGGCCTACAAAAAACCACATTTGAAGATATGAAGAAGTCTCATTTGTACAAATGTTCCAAGAGGGAAATGGAGGTCATACATGTCGAATCTAGCTCCAAGAAGAAAAAAATTGATCCGATACATAAATCATAGGCAAGTTATCATCATCTTTCAAGAAGTTCGTTAATCAAAACATATGTTTGATTATGTATCAAGTTTAATTATGTTATACACGTGTGTATACATATGTGCTGTCTATTTTGTATTTGTCTCATTTGAGGAAATTAGATACACGGTATGTTGCATACACACTGCTGAAAAACATAAATATATAAAAGAATTATCCTGATAATGTAAAGACATGTTTGTTATTTTGCTCAATATGAAACTTAAAGATGAAATATTACACGATGAGTGTTGATTGAAATAATGTAGTATCAGTACATGAATGCATTCACTGAATATTATATACAGCAAAATGTTATTTGGGTTCTTCTACATGTACGTCGGGTTTGACACCCAAGTGTACCCACTCCCTCCCAAGAGGGGGGACCCACGATTTTTTTATTCGCCATGGGTCCTTCCCTCTTGTGAGGGGTCGGTACACAGGGTGTCAAACCCAGTGTACAACTAGAAAAATCCATGTTATTTAAACCATTATGGGGATGGATTTTACATTCAAATTTGTTCAAATCCAATACATGCATTTCACAAGCTCCTCATAACTTCATGCAATAATATGTTGAATTTTACATCTTCTAATTTCTATATTTGTATGCAGCAAGAATCTAAATATTACTCCCCCCCCCCTCCCGAGAATAGATTTGGCGGAAGTCTGAATGTTTTCTTTAGAAAAAGAGTTATCTAGCTGAACAACAAAATAACTTCATCATAGAAGGCAATTTTCAGATGAACTTTTTTCGACACCTCCTTTAGATGAATGAGATCTGTTTACAACCCCAGCTTATTCACAAGTTTCTACTAATAGAATTGCGTCAATCCACTCATGATGAATTGTGGTTTAAAATTGCTGGTAAACATCTGAAGTTTTTCATCGATGAGTTCGCTTTTATCACAGGGTTGAAGTGCCATGACAAGCATGTTTGAAGTTGGCCATTGTTGTATTAAACATGTGTTCTTCAAACATCAAAAGAAAGTGTACAAAAAAGACGTCGAAAATACTTTCAATAACATGACAGTTGCAACATTGGATGAACATGTGGAAAAGATGGGCATTCTATATCTGAATTCTAGTTTCCACACTTCGACAAGCGCATACGTCGTGATTGTTCGTCAAAATCCCGCAAGCGTACGGGTTCGTTGTACAAGTAATAATCGTGATGAGAGAGTTATCGTCCCACAGGGAATAAGGATCAATTTTAGTATATTTGATATAGTTAATTCGTATTTTAAAAGAAAAAAAAGATCGAGGGAATAACTAAATAATTTTTATAACTAAAACTTGTGAAAATAATTAAATTTGGTTTAAAAATTCAAATGTGTAAACGTATTGGATTTCCGACGCCATTGATTAATTCTTAGTTCTAATTCTCAACCAATAGTAATTATCTCAATTTATGCAATTGCGACGATCGATAATTCCGTTTATTTATTTATTTATTATTATTTCCCAAGATATAATAAACCTATGATTACCACGAGACGATCTTATTCCTAAGTCGAATTCATATGGCAAACATGCATTGACAATTAGAATTATCATATAAGATCGCACACGTCACAAATACTATTCCTAATATTTATTGCCCATGTGTCCCAATAATAGTGTTCTACCTATCGTGAGTTTTCCAACACTACGAAAAACCAACTTATTATCCTAATGGTGCGCAAATATTAGAACAATCTAATTATGCATATTATTGGAATCACAACGCAATAATTAACATAAAAACATAGGTCTCGAATTAAAACTAAAAATTAAACAATTTTGTCATCATCCAATATGTGAAAATATTTAGCCTAGCATAAAATTGGAATTAAACATATAAAAATGGAAGGAAATCACCGAAAATCGATGGGACATGATTGACTCCACGAATTTGCTCGACTTTTGCACGTGTATGTTGATTTTTCCAAGGCAGCCGTCCACTTCTCTTCTTTTACAAAAAGCTTTCCTTCCAACAGCTCAAAATTATATATTATATGTATATGTATATAAAAATGAGCAACAAGTACCAATGTTTCCTCCAAATTCCAGCCCTCCAATTTCTCTATCGTGTGTGTATATACATATATTTCAACCCTCAAGCAACTATGTAAGTGAAATCAATTCAGCCACTAATTTCTTCCCTGTTCGTAGTCTGATGTGTATATATATATTTAAGCCAGCAGCACTTTTAATCCAGTTGGCGTGTATAATTCCAGTAGGTTGGCAGCCTCTTTTTGTTTGTAGAAAAAAAACTCCTTCAGCCCCTGTTGAACTCACAAGCAGCCACCCAAATTTTTTACAAACTAATTCTCTTCTCTCTACTCGTGTCTCCAATCTTTTTCTTTGCTTTCTTTCCAGCAACTCTGCCCTTGTTTTTCTGCCCAATTTCAGCAACTTGTATGTATAATATCTTTCTCTTTCAACCGCCTAATTAGTCCTCTAATTGAGGTGGAATTCCAATTGGTCTCCCCTCTTCTCTTTGGTAGTCGTCCCCTTCCTCTTCTCTAGGTTTTCTTCCTCCCTTCCTGCCGTTTTTGTAAGAGCATGTATATATACTTGAAATTAGCCAACTAACTTGACCAAAAAGAAACCCAAATTCATCCCCATGCAGCCCTTTTAGTTGTAACCCAATTGGAAGTCCAATTAAGTATTAAAGTTGAATTCCAAGGCATGTCCAATTGAGGCCCATTAATCAATTATTTCTCT